CCACACGTCCAACGCCCGATTGAGTGAGTCATATATGACAAAACAACTTTTATTTATTAAAAAAAACACTTACAACAACAAACATTCAAGCACACACATATACAGCATATGGACCAAGATTCAAGGACAACAAGCCTCGACACCAACTATGAATCAAGGTGTGTCAAATATCTAATACATCAATACCGTACAAATTACCTAAATCCCACACATTCCAACGCTAACAGATGTGATAAACACAAACACCCTAAGTATCACACAAACACACACTCTAATCTTGGCACATACAAATACTCTTTTTTTTTCATGCAGCAATCACCCTACTTCTAAACCTCACCAATAACGCCGCCTTTACCAATCAAGCATATACAAACTAGGGGCTGCGCACCCGTGCCCTCACGGTAAGTCAATGGACCCGCGCCGTTTCAATTTCGAAAAAGGCCTAAGGACCGCGGCCTCCTCGGCCTCCTACGGGCAGCTACCGGGCCTACGGGGTCCCGGCCCCTGCAAGACCCCAAAACCTCAAAATGCCCACGCTCCCAAATAACCACCGACGTTGAAATTGGAGTGACGTTGAAATGTCTCAAGGGGGGGAAACACATTGACTTACTGTGAAGGCACGGATACGCAACCCATAGTTTGTTTGTTGATGTGGTTTGGGAAAGGTAAGGTAGTGATTATATTATATGTATGTTTTGTCATGTTCGCTATACACAACTCGAAGAGAGTGTGTGTGTGGGGTCCCGGTTGGTGCTTTATTTACGATGTTCATGGGAAGCTGGACCCAGTTTCTAGCAGGTGGCGCTCCCCATCAATAGACAGGAAAATGTGTGTGCATGTGTACATGAGTGTGAGTGTGTGTATGTGTGTGTGTGTATGTGTGTGTGTGTGTGTGTGTGTGTGTGTGTGTGTGTGTGTGTGAGAGAGAGAGAGAGAGAGAGATGCTGCATACAGGATGTCAGTGGCGGGGAGCACAAGGGCAGACGCTGACCTCTTGAAAAAAAAAAAAAAAAAAAATTTATTGGAATACAATACTTTTTCTATTTGAAATCCAACGAGCGATTGTGTATGTATGTTTTGTCATGTTCGCTATATACAACTCGAAAAGTGTGTGTGTGTGAGTCCCAGTTGGTGCTTTATTCACAATCTTCATGGGACGCTGGACCCAGTTTCCAGTAAGTGGCGCTCCTCATCAATACGGTAGAACGTGTGTGCGTGTGTATGTGAGTCACGGTGTGTGTGTGTGTGTGTGTGTGTGTGTGTGTGTGTGTGTGTGTGTGTGTGTGTGTGTGTGTGTGTGTGTGTGTGTGTNGTGTGTGTGTTTGTGTGTGTGTGTGAGAGAGAGAGAGAGAGAAAGAGAGAGAGAGAGAGAGAGAGTGTGTGCGTGTATGTGCGTGTATGTATGTGTGTGCATGTGTGCGTGTGTTCGTGTGTGTGTGTGTGTGAGAGAGAGCGTGCGTGTGTGCGTGTGCAGAGAAAGGGAGAGAGAGAGAGAGCTCTGGTAGAACCGGGACTTTTAAAAAAATTAAGGACCGGTCCTGGGGTGGAAGCGAACCCCAAAAAGAAGTGAGGGCAAAGGGCCCTCAGGCCCAGGCGTTGAGGTCCGTCTTCTCAAAACAGGGAGGTCAGGTGCAACAAAACAAAGGTTTTGCAAGAGGCAGCTTTGGCGATTTTCTGTGCTTGGAGGAATCCGCAGAAAAATCTGAAATTTTTGGAATCCGTAGATGAGGTCATGTTCATTCCAAAAAAAATATCAGAACGTTTTCAAAAAATCATTTAGACTGCAAAATAATCGTCACACCGATTGAACACACTTCCCATTTTTGCCACTCAGCCATCTGTGGGCCAACTAAAAAATACTTCAAATTCAGCGAGTTTTCTCGCTCAGAAGAATGCGTGAAAAACCTGAAAATTGGAGTACCCGTAGATTTTGTTGTGATCTTTACGGAAAAAATACTAAATAAAATTTAAAAATTGTCCAACTGTAAAGTAGATTCGGACCGCAATTTGACTCATATTTCAACTTTGCCATTCAGCCTCTCTCTCTCTCTCTGGTAGCCCCCCCACCCTCCCTCTCTCTATCTTTCCTTTTTTCTCGCTCTCACTAATATAATAAATAGAACAAACCTCTCTCTGTTGGCAGCTTAAGGCTGCGATATAGTGGGCTTCGACGTATGTGTCAAGGTGTTGCATTTTCAGCGGTGGCCGACGAGGACGCAAACTGGGTTCTTAGGGGGCAAATTTTTTGGGGGAACCGGTCCTCAACGAAATTGCGGACTACCTACAGCTAGCTCTGGTAGAACCGGGACTTTTGAAAAAAGGAAGGATCGGTCCTCGGATGGAAATAGACCCCCAAAAGTAAGGGACCAATGCCCTTAGGCCCAGGGGTTGAGGCAGGGTCTGGTGTGGATGGGTGTGAACGTTGTCTTCCATTAGGTCCCTACACAAAAGGGGTACCGGCGGGTCCTGTCCCACAATTTGCAAGAATAAACTTTTACGATTTTTTGTGCTCAGAAGGATTCACAGAAACATCTAAAAGTTGAGAATCCATAGATTAGGTCGTGATCTTTCTAGAAAAAATATCGAGAACATTTAAAAAAACCGCTAAGACTGCGAAATAATTGTCGCGAACATTCGACACATTTTCCATTTTTGACACTTAGTCATGTGTGGGCCAAGGAAAAAGTACTCTCGACTTCAGTGTTTTTTTGCGCTCTGAAAAATGCGTGGAAAATGCTGAAAATTGGTCTGCTCGTAGATTTTGTCGTGATCTTTCCAACAAAAATATTAAATAAAGTTTTAAAATTTATTTTAAACCACCAGTACCTCCGAGCCTGTTTTTGCCGACCCTGATTTTCACTGCGCTCCGAGTTTTGCCGAGCCTGGGTCCCACTCCATTTCTTTATGGTACTCTCACGGGAAAAAAAAAAAGAAGAAAAGTTGCGGCTGTGATAACTCACACAACAAGAAAAAGAAACAAAGCTCTGGACGTGATTGGAGCTGTATACATTCTCGGAAGTGTTAGTGTGAGTGTGCCCTCAGTGAGGGCATCTCAGCCCCGTCGCCAGGTTGTTAGATTCCAAAAACTAAGTAAAAAAGGAAAACGACAGGAACACGGATTCGACCGTGAAAATGGCAAGATACATTCCCGTAAGTGCCAGTGTGAGCAGGGTTACAATCCTCTGAGGGAATACAACTCGAGTAGATTACGGATTCAGATTGTCAGATTCCAGAAAAAGAAAACAAGAAAAAAAAAAAACGAAAACACGGATTCGGCCTTGAAAACGGTTGGATACATCAGGGTGATAATCATCTGAGAAAACACAGCTAGAGCAGATCACGGATTCCGCCCTGCCTCGTTGGCAGGGGGCACATAATAAGCAAAAGAGAAATAAAAAAAAAGAAAACAACAAGTTCAGAATGTGACCGTCTTCGTTGTAAGATGCATTCAAGACTGTGAGCACGGCCTCCTAGACTACCCTGCCCGACATCATTGCAATACAAATACCTTTTTTTTTTTCATTTTTCTTTCGTGCACGGGCAAAAGAAAATTACGATTTTTGGGACATCGCCGACCCTGTGTCCGAACCCCGAAAACTTCGGGTACTGGCCAGGACAACGTAATTTCCCAACACTGGCGGAGGTATTAGTGGTTTAACTGCGAAATAGATCGCGGCCGCACTCTGGCCCATATTTCAATTTTGTCATTCAACCTCTCTCTCTCTCTCTCTCTCTCTCTCTCTG